CGTATCATGAGCCTAAACTGGTCAAAGTGTCAAAAACAGGAGTTTTCTTAACAGGTTATTAATTGTTTTTTAGCTGTTAGCTGTGATTTAGCTCCCACTCTGGAAGGGCAATGATACCAAAATATCATCTACAGACATGGACTTTTCAAAAATGATGCTGAAGCTTTGCCACCCTGAAATGGACCAAAAAGTGGTCTGGTATGGATTATTTCTCAGCCCACGTTTACGTCTCTAGACTGTGACTGATGTAAATAAAACTCCGGTGACTCAGACGTTTACGTAGAAAATCTAAATTTATCAAACTAAAGAGTAACTTTTAGTTATTTCCATGAAGTAATCCACTTCAGAGGAGTGCGTGACAGATAATTACCACTCTTCTCCTCACATCAGGGGCCTTTTTTACAAAAACCATTTACGTAACCGCCCTCTGGTGTGACCTGGTGTTTGTTTGTGAGGGCTGAACCCAGGCTGTGTCCTGAGCAGGCGGTTCTTCCTGTCGCTCAGGTTCCTCCAGGGACTTTTTCTGCTTTATGCGCAGCAGGAATTTAAAGGGTTCACACAAGAGGACAGCTCAGCACTCAGGCAGGACGGAGACAAGGCGAGCAGACATGTTGTACCTACTGGCAGTGAGTAATCATCATTATTATTATTATTATTATTATTATTACCATTTCTGTTTATTCAGTTTTTCTTTGAGGAGATGTTTGAAACGTAATAACTTGTGTTTATTTTTGTCTTCAGATCGTGGTTGGACTTCTTTTCATCGTGATTTGTGTTTCAAAAGTACTCAAAGGGGTGAGAATCATTTCTAAAGTTTCTTTGTGTCCAGGTTAGATTTAGCGGACGATAGTGGTTTTGTCTGCGTGTGTCTGTTAGCAAAATATCCCACGAACCACTGGTTGAATTTGAATGAAACCTTTAGTAACTTCTAGACGTATATCTGTAACTTATTAAGTTTCGGAGCCGATCCAATCCAAGATGGCCGCCACAGCCAGGCGATCTTAAAGAACTCGTAAATGGCTGTGACTYGGTCTGTTTTACAGCTACGGAGGTAAAATCTTGTTGTGGTAGTAGCTGAGTCATCCACGGGACTTCTCACAAACTACAGATTTYACAAAAACCTAGGCAGTGTAGGCAAACGCTAAGGGCTCCGCCCATCGAGGGGGGCCAGAAACGTTGGACAAAACAAATAATTTATAACTTTTTATAAAAGTTTAGTTGATTTAGAACCCCAAGAATCCTAAACATTTAGTAAAAGTAGAGCTGGGCGGTATGACCGAAGTTTTACATCGCTGTATTTTCAACATTTACACCAGTTTCACAGTATTTGGTTGTATTTTTTTTTTCATCACTGCTCAGCTGATAATAAAATGTTCAAACGTTGCTTATTGACTTTTTTCTTTTACTGTACCTCTGTCTGTGTGGCTGTTTCCCTCCTCTTGTACGTCTTTTCTTCTTTGCCTGGTTGTAAACAGTAATCATGCATTTTGGTCCGATCGTGAAGGATTGAGAAAAGATCATTATCGGGTCTATCGTTGTGCGTAAATAAAACTTAAAAGGACGACTCACCTTGCACACTAGTCAAATAAACTCCACTACAAAACTACTTCCCCCGGGCTTTTCACAATAGAAGCACATTAAAGTCTCCATGYATTAAYGTCTCCGTTGTAACGTGTGTTAAATCTAACCGTGCACATCACTGAAGAGTTGTTTACCACATTCAGTGATGGTAAAAATGGGATGTTTTTTTACTTCAGTCAATATAAGCAGCTAAAACACCACTGGCTGCCAGTTACTCCAATACGCTGCTCCAACAATAACATTAGCATGCTAATGCACAGTGGTGGGCAGCGCTAATCCAAAAATTAGCTCTGCAATTTCTAAAGTCCTTATAAAAATGTTTAGGTCTGCATCCTCAAAAGCGCTTATGCCRTAGAAAACTAGCAGAAGCTAATTTTAAAGCACAAGTTAAATTTGACACTCACTAGCTGGCAACAATTCATATGCAATATATACACAACACTGCCAACTAGTGGTGTATGAATTCTTTAATAACTTAATTCCACAACTACAGATTGCTGGGGATGTGATTTCCTGAAACAGAACTTTAGCTCCTGGTGTAAATGTTAAAAAGTTGTTGAGGATTGCTAGTTCGGCTGCTTCTTTGTCTTTTTCTTTTGTTTGTTGTAGATTTTTCATTAAAGAAGCATCAATAAAGTAATTTTAAAACTGTTTGTTGGAAAACTGAAGCGATGCATTCTGGGTACATGAAGGATTTGATTTGTGACGGGAAACGAAAGCACGGAGAACAGGAAACTATCTTCCCTTCAAAACAAGTGCTCGGATTTTAAAGCTTTCCATGTAGTTGCTCCAGTTGACCACTAGATGTCAGTCTTCATCAGCGTAACATCTTTAAATCATTTCTGCTTCTCTAACCCTATTGCTTCGACCAATTACGTCAAATATTGAGCTCCAGCGTTTAAACTCTTTATTTTAAAAAAGGAGCTGTGATTGTAAAGTAAAATAAATCAATATTTACAAAATTTTAGTATGGATTACAAACGTTAACTGTTTTCGCCCGGTTACATAGCTAACCATTGCCTTCCTGCTACGTAAGCAGACACAAAGCATTGTGGGAAATGAGAACCGTGACCCAAAGCAACAGTCAACAAGGATGTATACCTTCACAATAAGTGTGTTTATCTGGGAGGGGTGCTGTTGGATAGATCATGTGTTGTGATTCATTAACAGTCATACCTTCTGCTGTTCAACATAATGATGACTGGTAGATAATTAGTTATTAGCAGTACTGCATTTTAATTTTAGAAAGCGCAAATCTGCTTATGAATTATAAAAATTAGTAAGACGGCCAATGTGCAAACGAAATATTTAGGTCCGCAATTAGCGGATTTGCGCTTTAGCGAGCTGGTGCCCACCACTGGTTA